GGCCCATCACAGAAGAGCAATTAGTTCATCAAAAGCTCATCTCTGCAAGCAATGAAGACAGAGGCACAATGGGAGGCAATTTCTGCCTTCAGCTGTCCCTCACAAGGGGAGTACCAGGTTGACAGCAGCTTTTTGTGGTTTCCTTTCTCCGCTCATGAGGTTTTGCTGTGAAGTCCTTGGTCCAGCTCAGAACTGTATGCATTTGTGTGGCAAGGAAGAGAAGGATCCTGCAGTTAAGCAGTGTGTGGAGCAGGTGAACAGAAGTGCTGCAGGGTACACTGTTGCTTATAAAGCTGCCAAGGGGTTGTTCCTCCCACAGTGGAAGGTATGCCTGGTCCCCTGGGTATGTTTCCTCCCACCTGTACTGGTGCCATCCTCCTATGTCCATAATCAGAGGCTGGCATCTCCTCCCACACCAATCAATCTCTCATAGGGCACCTCTGTCTTTGGGTGGAATGAGTGTGTGGAAGAACCTTGAATTCTCCCTCTTGGTTTGTACTCTTTTCTTGGTGCTATGGTGGGGAACTAGTGGCCCAGAACATGGCTGTGCTTCTGTAGCACCAGTCTTAAGAAGTATCTGCTGCCTTTCACTAACCACAGCAGCAGTGCCTCAATTCTTATTGCTGATCCATGGGTTTGTATTTCTGAAGGCTTTTTGTCTTTGAAACTAGATGCTGCTGCACTGTTTGCTTTGTCCCTTTTCCTTCCAAAAAGTCCTGGCTCTATTCCCCCATTTCTCCCTTGTTTTTCTTCTGCTCTTCCTCTGCCCCTCTCCAATCTGTCTCACTTTTTTCAGAGACTCCAACTCTCACTCAGCCAAGGCAGGGATTTTATCTTAGTGTTCAACCCCCTCACTATACCGTGTGATCACTCGCAGCACAGAAATATGTGGCTGCATCCTTGGATGTCACATTCTTGATGGTCATCACAGAATGATCATTATGATTTCTGTTTATCTCAAACTTGGCCTCATTGTAACCTTCCTCATAGGAGTTCTGCATCCATGGAGAAGTACTGGCTACTAAATTCAGACCATTTCTTGGAGTCTGCTGATACCACAACATATAGGCAAGTGTAGTATAATTCTGGTAGCAGGAGATGTCCACAGTCTCTCCAGCTCTGTTAAGGATTTCTGCTGGCCACTGTGTGATGAGGCTTCCAACACCAGCACCTGCATGAGTGAGAGAGAAAAAGAGAAAGGGAGGAGAAGAAGTACAGATGATGTCCAAAACGGGTCCTCTACCTCACACCAGCTCTGCATGGCTTGGATGAGAGCTGTGCTGCAGATGGATCTGTTGCCTCTCACCAGGTAAAAGGGCAAGCAAAAGAGTCAGCATGGCCTGTCAGCTGTCCCAGAACAGTGTGTTACTGCTCATTGTCAGTTAAGAGAGAAGAAGCTAGAGAGACTGATGCCCCTCCCCTTGTTCTGATCTTTCCATCAAGCTTGGGCAGAGAAGAGAGAAGAGACAGTCCACCTTTGATACCCTCTTTGGTGAGCCATTAAAAGCAAAGCTAAGTATTCATGTGACTGTAAGTTTTGCTTTAGCCTTTCCACAAGACAGGTTGTGTTCTGAGCTCTTGACAAAAATGTGGGATTTCTTGCAGACCAGTAAGTTGCTGGCTGAATGTTGTACTGTCTGTCATTCCATCATCATGCATGTCTGCATATTGGATCTGTCAGCCATGAACCTGGGAATATTGGCCTCATAAATGACTTTTTGACTCATTTGCACCTGTGTATAGAACTCAGGCAATCTTTCCAGAAGGGTTTATTCCAGTAAATGTAAACATATATTGTTTCAGTCCGGAGAGACATTCTTAATACCTGAAAGGTGATACCTCATAACTCAGAACTTATGTTAGACAGAAGCAAAGATGATAGACCAAGACAGTGGAGGCACAAAAATCGTGTTTAATCACATCCTAATTTCTTCAGTTTTCCAGTGAGGGAAGCATGTTCCCTGCAGTTTAATGCTCCTGAGAGCTCTAATTCACTTTCTAATTGCAAAAACAAGGCATCTCTGCCAGCTTTTTTTTCTGAAAGCAAAAACTGTGGTTAGACATTAGCCTCAAGAACAGCCTGTTTCTTCTAGTCTGCCAAGGACAAGCCTTGCCTTAACCTATACCACTCTATTATTTTCTGAATATGTAAGGTTCAAAAAACTTACATTATTGTAGCTGATTCTTTTCTCACTAGTACTCTGAATGAAATATACATATTTAGTTTCAATTATCTTTTTCAGTAATCCTGATGTTGCATCTTCCAAACAATAGGGAATATTACTGAGGTTTTCTCTTTCTTCCCACTTTGTTGATATCCCCCCTCCCATATTTGCCTGAAGCTCTAGAGAGATTCATATCTTCCCTTGACCTTTATGTATTTGTAGAAAAGGCATATTCTGTCTGTGAGCCTAGTGATATTGTACTTTGTCTGGGCCTAAGGCTGAGCTCCTAGGGTCATACCAGAATTCAGAGCAGTGTGGATCTCACAAATTTTGGTAGTGAATGTTTCCTGTCTCACTTTTTCAATCCTGCTTTTTTAAGAAGTTAACACAAATTACCTGAGAAGCTATAGCTTCTTCCCAGACAGGAAAGAAAATATATTCTCTATGATGTGTAAAAGTTTTGTATGATGTCCAGTGTCATGGACACTTAGCATATGAGAAGTAGGGTTTTGACCATGGCTCCTGTTCAGTCCCTGCCAGTTCTTGCCACTGCAGGTTTCCTCAGGAGAAATTATTCCTTACCTGTGCTCCAGCAAGGTTGAGCCCTGTGCTGGGTGTATTACAGTTTCAGTGACTTGTCAAGGAATTGTAGACAATACAGAATTTTTTTTTTAATTACCTTCCATATCTTTTACATTTTTCTTTGAATTTTTGTGCTGCTTTCAAAGTCAATACAGCAGTTAGCAAATAAGCTTGACTAAATTTAATATGCCTTTATATTCTTTTATTGTTTTGACACAGATTATCCTTTAATGCATATTTTTAGCATTTACTCACTACAACCTATTCTTTTTTATCTTCCATGGAAGTCTTGTCTTGATTTTGCTTGTTCTCCATCTGAATTTACTGACATTTTGCCCTTCCACCTTGCTGCTAGGACGGAACTCCTTGAGACACTTCCATGGACCATGTTGAGACAGTTCCATGGGACACTGCTGCTTTGATGAATGTCCTAAAATGACCCCTACATGTCTTGTGCATGGAGATACTACAGGATTTTTAGTTTGATTATTGTCTGTCACACTGGACCTGTTAAAAAAATTTTCTTCCAGTGGTAATCAGACCTCAAGTCCTGGAGGGAGAAACTATTTCAGAAACTTGATGGGAAATGAAACAGGCTATGGAGACGGTGGGAATTAATTCTAAGATTATGCTGTGTAAGGACTCTGAGACATGGCAAAATCATTTCAGTGCAGCTGGGCTGCACATTCTTCTCTAGTCACATGCATTAGAATTTACTACTCATTCCAGGATGAAGATTTTTATTCAGAGTAACTTCTCCATTTTAGGAAACCAAAAAATGTTTGCACACTCTTGGAAAGAAGGAAGTATCTGGAGGATGCAACTCAGGACCTCTAGTGTGTCTCTCAGGAATTACCTAACATGTTGCTGCCTTCTGAAGAGTAGCTAGCTTGACAGCCTTTTAGTTTTTCAGTTCAAAACATCTAATTCTTTCAGTCTATTTTCTGCTAAGATTAAAGAAGAAACAAGGGAAAACACAAAAGTACCAAGATAAAAGCAGGTATGGCCGAGCTTCCGAAATCAGAACCTGAACTACTGGATTTGGGGAAGAATAGATGTAAGAAAATAGAGGAATAAAGTTATAAAAGGGTAAACAGGTTGCTGGCGAGTATGCTTGTCTGGCTATGCCTTGTGCCTGCTTCATTCAGTGTATCCGTGTCTTATGAAATTCCATTTCTAAGTATTTCCCTGAGGGAGGGACTGTCTATTCTGTCCACATGTGTTTTGTGTATGGAGGTCTAAGTGCTAGGAACTAGAGTCAGACCACAGGTACCAGCAACTGGAGAGACCAGAGTGAGTAAACTTAAGTGCCAGAAACTGGACTAGAGCCACAGGTATGAGTGGCCATGTTCGTCATGCCAGCAGCTGGAGCAAAGGAGGGTATGTGAGTGTGTGTGATCACTAGTGAAAATGAAGCCAGGCTAGCTAACAAGTAAGTGACCTGGGTTCCAGGTGTGTGTGTGTCTCTAATGGCAAGACCAGTGGGAGGTAGCAACTTGAGGGAGCAGGGGAGTCCCCGACATCTATTGAAGGGGGTACAGAAAGTTTCTCTAGGGCCACTTGTTTGCAGACAATTCTTAGAGAAATCCTTCCTCCTCAGGCTTGTCATCCCAGATTCCTTGCCCAGTCAGACCTGTGCTGCTCCTTTCACTTCTTTCATCCCCAACCAGTACATTCTAATTCCATTTCTAATCCAGCTGTGTCTGCTTATCTGGTGCAAGTTCCCCTTCCTCATCTATTCTATTTCACTGTGCCAGCCTCACTGGCTGCCACCTCTAAACTCCTTCTCCAGCTTTTTTAGACCACCTGACTTTCCATCTCACCACCTTTACACTTTTTCCAGCCCCTCTTTGGCCTCCCTTTTCTTTCCCAAACTCTCCATCCCTTATTCTCACAGCAAAGGGGCAGTTTCTAAGTTTGGAGATGTTAAAATTGCCCAGTAGGGGCCCAGTTTACACAGGCTTAGGGTGCACAGACCCTTCAGGGGAGGTTTTTTTGGCTGCTCACTACAGATCATGTGCTGGATAAGGTGGATTAAATTAATACTTTAAAATCTGATCTCTCCCATCTGCTATGTCCTTTCGGGGTCCTTCCTTTCCTTTCTGGTCTAGCCATTTGCTGAAGATTCCTGGGACGCAGTCTGTTTCCCACCTCAAAGGCTGTGGCTGTATATCCACTTCTGGCTCCACGTGGGACCACTGTTATTCTCATGCGTTTCCTACCCTTCTCCCCAGTACCATGGTCTCTCCTTACTTTGTTATTCCCCCAGTGCCTCTGGCCCACAGTCCTCCAGGATCCATCCCTAGTTCCTGAGCTCAGGCACTCTGAAAGAAGACATAACTTTCCTTCTTCTGAAAAAGAGAACTTGACAAAAACCAGAATAACAGCAGGGTAAACATAAATATGCAGCTAGTGCTGCCACTGCCCCTGCCCCTCACGTTCCCATCCTTCCTTTCTTAATCAATCTTCTTCCATGCTTTACACTGCTATGAGGTCATGGGCCTTTTCCCCACCTGCTTGCTATTTTTTTCCTTTCCCTAGCAGCTAATCTATGTAACCTGCTAGATCCAGGTGGACTCAGTCCACCTGCCTCAGATGTCCCTGAGGAAGTGAAGGGGAAAGCTGATGATCATTGGTCAGGGCCATTGCCCATGACCTGATTGCTCTGCGCCTGTGGTCTCTGATCACTCTTAGACCTACCACCATAGCTGAAATGACCACTGTCAAAGCTGTCACAGTACCAGTGAGACAATAACTTCACCATTGGCAGGAGCAAAATGGGACTCCAGCCCACAGATGTCGGAACCTCCTCCCTAGGGACTTGTTCCTTCTCCTCCCTTTCTCAGTAAGAGGGCCAGGAGTAAAGAAAAGCAGGTACCTGGCTCAGAAGACTTCCTAGATGGTTGCACAGTTCCCTATCCCCTAGCCCAGCAGTTCTAGGGCACTGCTCCTAGCATACACACCCAAACCAGAACAGAAGGGAAGGTTCAGGAGGAGCTGGTATAAGGCTGCAGGGAACCCCTCTTGTGTATGGTGGTTGTCAGTCCCCAGCACATCTATCTGTAAGGCTCTTTAAGTAAGACTTTTATTTATGCTATTATCTTCTTAAGAGGAGTGATAGGGCAGGAAGGTAGTGGCCAAGGAGCCAGGCAGTCATCAACATATCACTAGGCTACAATGGTTTCTTTTATTTAATCAATGTAATTGCAAACCTTGGTGTAGACACTGAGATAACCTTTCAGAGCACACTCAGTTCCCTGTGACACGATTCCCTGGAGTTTTCCCATGCATACAGCTGGGCCACCTGAGTCACCCTGGAGAGAAAAATTTAGAAGCATGAGCTGATCTCACCTCGAAAGGTTTTGACCTGGTACAAAAAAATCCAGGGAATGCAAAATGAAGTGCCGCAAGTCCTGATCTGGGAGCACAGAAAGATAGCACCCTTATTTGCTGACTCCCCTAATCCCAACAATTCACTGCTACTGCACTCAGTGCCCAGCAGATGTAGCTGGACCTGCTAGTTTGGGTAAAGTCCATTCTGTACTGAAATCCTGCTGGAAGGATACTGTGTCAGAACAGAAAACCTGGAGATGAGGAGGCCTAAGCACTCTGCCAAGCTCTGACATATGCTGTGCACCTGAGGCACCCTCAAGTGTGTGACCCAGGGCTCTGTGCAGACATCAATGCTTACCTGGCATGAGTCTTTCCCACCATCCAGGAATCTTACACAGATCATGTTGCTGGTGATCTGGCCAGGGTAAGCCTCTTGGCACTTCTGGTTGCTCAGAAATGGAGCTGTCAGTTACTGGAGGACCTTAGAGAAATTGGCTGCTGGGACAGCAGTGAAACGCAGCACTGTCAGTGAAGAGAGAAACCTGTAGATCTATATGTGAGAGCCATCCAGCAAAGCAGGGCAACCCCTTCACCTGCATGAGCAAATGCAAAGGGCATTGTTGATTGAGGCACACTGGCAGGACCGTTTGGGGAACATGCAGGCAGAACATGGAAAGGCTGCAAAGCAGGAGTGAAACATACAGGGATCTCATGAGCCTGGCAGTAAAGCAGGAGAAGCGTGACATGCAACATACACTGATACTCACAGCCACTGCTCAGTGTGTTTCCTCACCTTGAAAAAGGCACTTGGGACCCTCCTTGGCACGGGAGCTGGGCAGAGCTGTGGGTTGAATGTCAGCACTGTAGTCCATGGTGGTTGCCAGCTTGATGAACATAATGTCATTACCAAGGCTTCTTGAATCATATCTAGGATGGTGAATGATTAATGCAGCACTCCTGACTAGTTCACTGTGTTCTTTCACATCAGTGTTGTACTCTCCCATCCTCACTTGTATATGCCTGCAAAATTGCCAGCAGAGAAGAGCAGCAATTAACCATGGGTAGAACAACTTGGTGCCACATGGGGACTGGCAGACACTTGGAATAGAGTAAGGGAGTGTTGCCCTAATCAAAGGTGCATGTGTCACAGAGCTCTAGGAGCTTTATGATTTCATGAAAGACAGAGTCTGGAGAGCCTTGCTAGTTGGGTATCCTGTCCAGTGGATCCCCAGCTGGCAACTGTGGAATTGGTGCCAGAATAGAGGGATCACTTCAGACACTGAGAGCAATGCTTAGGGAAGGAAGATTACATTTCCTATTGCAGAAGAACATGATCCTTGATCTGTGCTCTCTCTGCAGAGGTATGCCCTAAAATTAGGACAAGAAAGATCCATGGAGAAAGTCTGGAGGAATGCAAATGTGCACAGAAAGGCATGTTAGGATGCACAGAAAAGGATGCCGAGAGTGCAGGTATATTAGAAAGATCATGTAATGCAGTGAGACAGAAGGTAGTGTTTCTCCTTTGGTTTCAGATACACCATGTGCTGCCATCTTGGATTCCCTTCTTTTGGTAGGCATCATATTCCAAATCTGGTGACTTTGCAAGATTTGACTAGAATCCAGATACACAACCCAATCCATACTTACGATGTCTAGCAGTGAGTAGCTGACAGGAACCACTGATTGTTGGTGAGTGAACCACTGCAGAAATTATACCCAACATTCAAGGACACTGGTAGGGAACTGAATGCTCTGGGCAACTGTAGCATCCCACAATCTTGTCATCATCAGCGTCCCCAGGAAAAGCAACTGAGAGAAAGAGGACTGAGTTTCACAGCACCAGACCAGAATCCATTCTCTTAAAGTGTAGCAATGGCCAATGAGCTATAGAGGAATTAGCAAGAGCTGAAAGAGTTTGAAACATCAGAAGTCTTCACAGCAACTCCTGAAATATCGTCCTGAGTTTTTTCTGTGCTACTCTGAAACATGAGGCTTTGTCTTTACCACCCTGAGTCAGGAAGAGAACAGTAGAGCCTAGAAGCTGCCAAAGAACTTCACAAACGAAACATGTGCAGCCTTCACACTGACACCTTCACTTCCATGGCACCTTTGGAACACGATGCAACAGCTGTGTCATGGTGGAAAGCACATGGTGCACTTTTGTGTAGGTTGAGAAATGGAAAATGGCAAATGCAGTTGAGAGTGTCAGCAGAATTTTAATTTCCTGGGGGGAAGCCAGGAGTGAGCAAGAGAGGAAGGAAGCCCTGGTAGTGAAGAAATCCGAGAGAACATGAAGGCTCAGCAGAGTTGGAGGCTGATGTTATAGCAGAATGTAAGAAAGAACATGTAAGTTATTTGTTGAAACCACTAGAACAGTGGTCTCCAAACATTTTTCATTGTGCACCCCTATCAGTAAAATACTTTTGAGCACACACCCCGAGTATATGTATATTTAGTAATTGATAATTATATATGTGTAATACTGAAGTTCTAATGTTTTCTTCCCACATGCCAGTAGATCATCATGTGCACCCCCAGGGGTGCATGGACTCCCCTTTGGAGACCCCTGCACTGGAACATTGTAAACCAGGAACGTGTCTCTGACCGTCGATTGGAGATGCAAAGAGCAGAAGATGCAAAACCCTTCCCCAGACACTCTCCTGGCTTCCAGCAACTGGGGACTTGATGATCCTAGGCCACATGGGGTGCCTTTCAACCAGCTTCTCCCAGGCAGGAGAGACTTGGGAAAAGAGAATCAATGGCACCTCCACCACCAGGCTCTGTGAGATGTACAAGGACTAGCTTGAGAAACTCCTCTGCTTTATGCTCCTGGGAAGCTTTATCTCTGTCAGCCTGCGGTCTCGCCAGGTTTCCTTTTCCCATGATCTTGCATCAGCCTGGACAAACCTATTTACTTTATCTGAGTTCAGTGGTGATACAGTTGACTGAAATACTTGAACTAGGAACATAGATTTCTAGAAATGTAAGCTGCCATTGCTTGTCCATTGTTAATACCTAACACATCTGCCCTCCATTCACCAATCCTCCTCCTTCCCATGTCCCTGGACCCACCAGCATCCTGCTGCAGCGTCACTGCATTAAATGAGAAACTTGTCTGCAGCTGGAGATGTATCCCCGGAGTGTATTTTTTGAAAGACCCTGGAAAAAAAACTTATAATGGTCTGTTGAATGTTCAGCAGCATTGAGCAGAAGAGGGTATGTACATTTCAGGTAAGCATTCATAGTCTTAAAGAAAGGAAGGAGGGGCAGGAGGAGGTGTTCCAATTTCAGCCTGAATGAAAGAAGTCTGTTCGTCATTCACAGGTCTCACTGAAAGGCCTGAAGGACTGTTCTGAAGCAGTCTGTCTGCTGAATGACCTCCAAGTTGTGCATCACAAACACCCCATTTGCCTTCATTTGAGATCAGTTTGCTCTATGAGCTGCCCTGCTGGCATGCACTGTGGAGTTCTAGGATTCATGGGAGCCTCTAGAAGGGGCACTGAGAGGCACATAGGAGAATGAGAGGGACTTGGGTGAGGTACGTTCACCAGATGTCTGCCATCATGGCCTTAGGAACACAAGAACCACAGGAACTATGACCCAGGACTTCTGCCGTGAGCTCTGGCAGTAGCCTGGGAAGGGGTCAATAGTTGATTTAAGCAAGTAGCATAGAGAGTCTCAGAGACACCTTTTTCTTCAAGGAGAAAGGAGCCAGCCCTATTTGATGCCTTTCCTGCTGTTAAGAATAACTGATCAGTTAAAGATCAGAGTAGATTAAATAAGTAACAAGTGAAAACAAAAAAAGTACAAAGATAAAAGCAGGTATGGTTGAGCTTCCCCATTCAGATGCTGAATTACTGGATTTTCCTGACATTTGGGTGGACACTAAACCAAATATTAAACCCTGTGAAAAGAAGGAAAAGGAAGCTGTCCTTCATAGCCTAGGTGTTACCTAATAGGTTATTAGAGCTATATCTCAGGAAAAATACTGGTTTAAAATATCTGATGACAGCCTGTCTCTATGCCAATAGCATGTTTTGGACAAAGAAATAACAAATCCACAAGGAGATCAAATTATACACTATTGTAGATTAGGAATTGTTCTTGCTCTGCTTAGTTAGGATGGGATTGGATAGCTTTGGTAATTTTTGCCATGCTTAGTCCTATTATGGATATTTCCCTCCTCCACAGGAAGCTTCTAGTCCTTATTTGTTTCTCAGGATAAAACATGTTTGTAAGAAAACTGTGCACTGATACCAGTTTAAAGCCCAAGACAAGTCATGCATCTCCCTGGAGGAGTCCCTGGCCTTGGACTTGCCCTTTAACATGAAAGAAAATTTCCACCTGGACAGTGCCACTGTGTGTACCAGTCCTCCAGGGCTCTCAAAAAAATTGATTAAGAAATGGAGTAGAAAGATTATTCCTATTTAGTCTCTGATGCCATTTCAGCATCTCAAAGCATATGATTTCTGTTCACAGTCACTTGAGGTTATCCCTTGTCTTTCAGGAGCTAACATGATGAAGTTGGCAGCTGCTTGGAAAATGATTATTCATCAAATGCATCAAGCTTTAGCAAACTCAGCATCATGAGAGAAATTATCACTCTTTCAGAGAAGGATTTCAGAAGATCTCATGATTTGTGGTCACAGTATTTTTGTTCGTATACATTACCTCCATAAACATCAATGTTATATTGAAATTCTTCTGTAGCAAAAATGAGTGTCTGTAGAACATTCCAATGCTAAATAAAAGACGTGGTTCAGTACTTGGGCCAATATTTTCATATAGATTAGGGGAGAGAAATTAGGAAAGGGAGAAATCTTTCAAAGAGAAATGCGGGTGTGCATTCCCACATTAAACTGTTTAACTTGGGAGGTGGTGGGGGACACAGAATAGGTTTTTTGTACTCACTTATTGAAATTACTTTTGAATAATTTTATTTGGGAGAACACTGTGTTCTATATGATAAAACCAGACACACATATTACTCAAGAAAAGGAATTTGCTAAAATAAACTTAACAAACTTAACACTGAGAGGGTTTTTTTGTTTTGTTTTGGGTTTTTTTTGTTGGTTTTCTTTTCCAAAATAAATGTATAGTATCTTACTGTCCATTACCTACAATAATCAGCATTTTTAATATGCATTTTTAAGAATGACGCCATCAGCGCAGAGGAACCTCAGAGGGGTTTGAGGGTTGCTCTCAACAGATGCTGCATGTAAGAATGAGACAGGCAAACAACTACACATCTTTCAAAGCCCAAACATTTTTAAATTGAAGGCTGCACTCTGAAATAATTTTAGATGGCTTTCTATCTTAGGAAAGGTTTATGATTAACAGATATGTTATTTGTACTTTCTAGCAGTGCCTGTTAATGCCCACATTTGGATCTTCAAATTTTCCACTGTGTACTTTTTGTCTGCAGAAAACCTTGGACTAGAGATAAGGCCATTTCAAAAAATGTATATCTAGCAGCTCAGGCTTCCAGTCCACCAGTCTGGGCTTGAGGCTGTGTCAAGATCATGAAGTACATACTGTTTGTCACCTTTGTTGGAGTGGCTGGTAAGTATATTTTTTCCTTCTATTTTTGTAATTTATAAGGAAGCTTATTTTCTGAGCAAATTTACAAGGTAGTCTATTGGGGGAAAGTGAAGTCCAGTTTCAACTTACAAAAGTTTTAAGGCAGAGCACTGTAACGTCTTCTGACTGCTGTCTGTTCATAATTGCTTGTGTCACAAAACAGGGAATGAATGCCTTCACAGGTGTTCTTGACCCAGGAATACTGAAATGTGTCCATATGTTCAAAAAAAGACTGTCTTTCTCTTAAGGACTATGAGGTATAAAGATAACACCTCTGGCCCAGGAAGTCCTAAAGCTTCTCTAAATTTTTGGACTATGGGTGAGTGCTTCCCAACACTGCTACCATGAGTTTTTATGGAAGTAGAGCCTACAAGTGAGATGCTTCAGTCAGTCACAGAGGCACAAGATTCCTTATGCCTTGACATATACCACTTCTTATCCCCCAGTTGCCTTTCCCATCGATGCTGCCGCTGATGATGATGATGACAAGATTGTGGGAGGCTACACCTGTGCAGTGAACTCTGTCCCCTATCAGGTGTCCCTGAATTCTGGGTATCACTTCTGTGGAGGTTCCCTCATCAACAGCCAGTGGGTAGTGTCAGCTGCTCACTGCTACAAGTCGTAAGTAGAAAAAAAATAAATTCTTCCTAACCTGCTTCTTTTTTCCAGTTCACTAAGTTCCAGGAATTCTGAGCTGTGAGATCCAAATATGTAAGTGACTCCATTCTGACAGGAGACAGTCAAGGAGTAGGTGGCTCATTCAGGAAGCTAGTCTGAGGCATCATAAGGGGTTTTCCACTTCTGCAAAAGTTTCTGTGAATGCAGAGCACTTTCTGAAGTGACAATGTGATAATCTAGCAATGAATTATGGGCTGTGATTTCTTATAAATTGCATTAATCTTGCTAAAACTTAGTTACTGGACAACAAGAAGAGAAATAAGGTCAGGGTGATAGCAGTTCGCCTTTTGCCAGAATGTTTGTATAAAGCACTGTTAGATATTCAACTTGTCCCAGCTCAGCAAAATAAACCTGCAGAAATTCACCACCTGTAGTGGGAGTGGGTAAGATCTCAGTGTGGATCCCCAGGACTTATTGCAGGACAAGACAGACAACCTGCATGGAAACAGCGACTATGGTAGCAATGTTGAAGCAACTGCATGCAGTAACAGAGAGGTTCCCCATAACCTGTTGGTAGCAGTAACGTATACGCCACTCCTTCTCTTTTCCAGTCGCATCCAAGTGCAGCTCGGGAAACATAACCTGGCACTCACAGAATCATCACAGCAGTTGATTAGTTCAGCTGAAGTAATCCGCCACCCTCGCTACAGCTCCAGAACACTGGACAATGACATTATGCTCATCAAACTTGCCAAACCAGCCCAGCTCAACCGCGCTGTCCAAACCATTCCTCTGCCTACCAGCTGCGTGGCCACAGGCACCACATGCCTAATCTCTGGCTGGGGCAACACAGTCAGCAATGGCAGTGAGTACTCTGGGGAATGTACAGCATCGTGAGGGCCCGGGAGACACTCTAAGACCTCACAATTGGCTCCAAACAGTACAGGGTAAAGCACAGAGAAGTGCTGTGTGACAGGCCTTTTTGAGCAATCAGTCTGTGTAGGACAGTAACCATTTAACTGCCTTAAAGGCAAGCTTTTATAAGGTCCTTCCTCTTGTTCTGTGTTACGAACATGGAATCACTTAAGTCATCCATGTGCCGTTCATCAGCATGTTCACGCTGCCATAAATTTTGTGGCCTGGAGCTATCAGCTGTGCAGTGCCAAGCACTAGCAATTTAACTAATGTCAATAGAGTTGTCAGTTCTCTGAGAACAAGATCAAGATCTGTGACTGTCAATCTAAAATTACTACAAGAGAGCTCCATGGTCAGAGATGTGGATGGTGACTGGTGTCTAATCCACTGACAACAACAAAACCTGCACCAGAGGAGGGGATGGTTTTCCTGAGGCCCAGGTTCCCTCCAGCGTATGTGCTACAAGAGTAGCTCTTAGCTCCACACTTGCCAATTGATGATTTTCTAGGTATCAGAAAAATTAACATGGCTGCAGTGTAGAATGGTGGACCCATGGATAGAACCTGTTCTATCTAAACAAAAGGAATCCATGCTGCGATTACTGTTCAGAGGAAAAATGATCACTGCTAAACCAGGATATTCAGTGATTACTTTTCTGCTAAGAAAGATCTTCTCCGGGCTCTGACATGAACTCAGAGATGCAATCAACCATCTCTCCCTCTTTTATTGTAGATGCATATCCAGACAAGTTGCAGTGCCTGAAGGCTCCTGTACTCTCCTCAAGCGTGTGCACTAAAGCCTACCCTGGGGAAATTACCAAGAACATGATGTGTGTAGGATTCGTGGAGGGAGGAAAAGACTCCTGCCAGGTAAAACATCTGCCTCTCCTTTCACATATGTTTCTCTCCTGCCTTTTGCCAGTAGAAGAGGCCATCATGTTAGAGAATCTGCTATACTCACTGCACTAGCACATCTGAATGCTGGTTTTTTGAACAACAGAGGAGGCTTAGGGTAAAAGTTGCTTACTGAGTGAGACTAGGTTTTTTCCCACTCAGTTAGTCATTGTCCCTTTTTTGAGTCAGCGAATACGTCTGCCCTATACCTCCACAAGCAGACTATGCCACCTCCTGCACCTTAGGCTATTGAAAATGGAGGAGTGCTGCACCAGAGAGTCAATATTAATCACAGTGACTTTAGAGCTTAGGATGCAAATGTTAGTTTTGGACTCACTGAAAATGAAATAGGCAGTATGCCAAGATCCAGGCAGTCTGGAAAATGAACACACTTGACAATTGCTCTGCATTTTACATGTGCCTAGCTTCATGGAAATATTTGGCAGAATAATGTTTAAGACACACGTATCCTAAGTGTCTGCCAAGGACTGCATCCATCAAAAATAGGGAGCTTACTCATCCTTAGTGGTGGTGCCCTTGGGGATAAAGTAAGGCACAGTAGCATCAGGTGTAGAGTGGTAATCAGAAATTACCTTTGTAGAACTTCTGTGTAGAAAAAGCCCAATGGAGCTCCCTCGAATGTCAGTGATTTCTGGGATCTCTGTCTCACCACTTACGCTGATACCATTTGCTGAATATCTGTGTTCTTTATGTGCACAGGGGGATTCCGGTGGTCCAGTAGTCTGCAATGGGCAGCTCCAGGGCATTGTTTCCTGGGGTATTGGATGTGCACAGAAAGGCTATCCCGGGGTTTACACTAAGGTTTGCAATTATGTCTCCTGGATCAAAGCAACTATGTCTGCCAACTAAGACACTCTCGTTCTATGTGACCCACTTTTTCTCCTCATCATTTCTTTTGTTTTGGGACTGGGCATACAAAAATTATCAAAAAATAAAGACTTTCAGGCACCTTTCTTTGTGCAACGTTTCTCTGGGTACTTCCATAGGCTACGGTATGGAGGACAAAGGCAAGGAATGTCACTCTGGAGAAAATATTTAATATTTGTAGTGCCTCTCAACTAGCAGGATCTTGGAACAATTTGCAGACTCATCTTCAGGCGTCTTTCAGGCAGTTACATGCAGCCATTTCTGGAGCAGAACAACTTTTCTGTTCATCAGCATATGCTCAGGTGCTACAAAACTACCTAAACCAGCTGAGAGAGTACACTGAATCACACAGGCAGCATACTCCTACTGTAGAAAACAGCAGGCAGCAACACAAATGCTCCCCAGCCCCCTGCTCCCACCCCCAACAATATGACTTAACATTCCGTGGTGGAACCTCCCTGAAAGCTCTACTTGGGGAATGAAACAACCTCTTGCTAGGACTTGTTCTCTTCATGTACCAGTGCCACTGGGGCTGCTGCCTATACCGTTTTGCTAGGTTAACTGGTCATGCTGGGCTTGCTTAGTTTTCCTGGAAGAGTCAAAAGGTCAGAGATGTTCCTGGGTTCTGATTTTATCTCCTTCTAACCCCAACGGGCACTGGAGTTGGAATTCCATGAAAAAGCTGCCAAAGTTGCCAAAAGACTGTATAGCTGTCTTCTGAAAAAGAAAAGGGAAATAGAGAGTTGGAGTAAAATAAAAAGATAGAAAAAGCAGAAAATAGGTGAAGTGGGGTGAAAATTAAAAGAAATCTGACACTGGAGGAAAGGGAGGGAGAGGAGAAGAGCAGGGCATGAAGGAACAAGTGCCATTTGCCTACAAAGAGGTTTGTGCCTCGCGCTCTCAGATGCATTGTCACTGAGATACCTCCTAGGAGAGCAAGAGGTGTCTGTGTCATTGAGATAGGCACAATATACAAACAGGATCAGACCTTAGCTTTGCGTCCTGTTGCTCTGGAAGCACTTGTTGAATTCCTTCTCTCCTTTACCAGAAAAAAATACCTGAGCTGTAGCCTGGCATCCTTCCCTTCAGCCTATTTTGACCAGGAGACAGAGTTCTTATCCAGGAGCAGTTGAAAGTCACAGGTTCTCCCTCCCTGACCACTGTGAGTGGAGGGTGGTTGATATCTTTGCCTGGTATGTTAGGAGAAAGAAGAAAAAGTTGGAGGACAGAGGAGAGGATGCAATGAAAAGATGACAAGATGAAAATGGGGGGAAAGAAATACTTCTATTGTCAGGCAGAGTGCATTCTCAAATGTGACAGACAGGGATGTTGAGAAGAGTAGTCTGGAAACAGTCCCAGTCCTCTGTCACTATCCCCCCATGTGTAAAGGTCTCCAGTCAGTAAAGAAGAAATTGCATTTTCCAGATTATAGGCCATTCTTGATTTTCAGATTGCTGGAATATCCTCACAGGATCTCCACTCTTACATGGCTTACATGGCCCTCTTACAAGCTCTATTGCCTCTGGGTTCCTCACAGGTGAAAGATATGTTGGAGAAAGCTATGTGTGCTAACAGACTTCCAGGCTTGCACGGAAACTTCTCCTGTGCGCAAAGTGCCATCTGGGCCAATGCATAGGATCTGCTGCTGTGGGTTTTGATGCTCATACTTGCCTGTAGCTCCCTGGATGGCTGAAAGCAAATATGTGAGCTGGAGGAAAGAACTTGTGTCACTGCTCACCATTTTGTCCCTGCTGGAAGGGCAGGTGATCCATGGCATTGCATGAATGAGGGAAGGGGGAGCAGGGAGGAATGGAAGAGGAGAGAGGGTGGTGTTTTGCGAGGAAGTCAGAAGGAGGCAGGACATTGAAGCAGAGACTTTGGATCTGCCATGTGGAAGAGGGAGCAGGGAGGCTACTAGAGCCAAAGATATGGTGGGTTATTGCTACAGAGCACCTTGTGGCTTGGGGCTCCTCACCTACAGGGCCATGCTCCGTCCCCAGATACCATCGAGACGTGGGCTACATCGCATACATCAGAGCGTTCAGGTCACAGGGTAGCTGTGGGAGCACTTGACTCAGTGACCACCTGTGGAAAACCATGAGAACAGTGACGTTCCCAGCTGTTCCCTTTTGCTGTGATTGTGCTTTATAAAACCCTTGCCCAGGTGATGCTGTGTGGTGTGTGATGCTAGTGGGGCACTTCCTGTCAGGTTTAGTAGAACAAGCTCTTCTCCTGGGTGGCTCGAAGCCCAAAGCAACAGGTAGCAGTGCAACTCGGGGACCCTGGTGCACAGCAGCATGCCCATTCCCCGGAGTTTGGTGGGGCCAAGGGACAAGCATGCACATAGAAGCGCTCAGTGGCATGGTCCTGCTGGCGCTCTGGAGCTCAGAGCCCCTTGCACACGGCAGTGTGCTGAGCCCCAGGTTACCAGCAAGGCACCTGTACTCTTGGAAACTGCAGTGTGAGCAATTGCAGGAGACCCTTGGAGCTCATAGGCCCATAAGCACAGGCAGGAGTGCTCAGTTCTGGGATCCCGTGCCAGATTCATCTTCAGGTTGGCCTTGGCTTTCCAGCTGGTGGAGAAGGAAAGGGCCGTGTGAACTATTCCACATCCTGCTTAGCCATGAGTTAGTGTAAGAGGCTAAAAGGGAGAAGTGGAAGAGGATGAAGGGGACAGGAGGGGGACAGATGTGAGAGAGGACAGAGCAGAAAGGGGAAGGGGACAGAGAGAAAGAGAGTAGAGGAGGAAAGGGAGAGGCAGTCTATGGATGGCAGAGAAATGAGGCAAGGCAGTGAGTAAAATAAGAAAGGAGGGCCAAAAGGTGATTCAGAGATGGGAAAGAACAGGAAGGAAATTGGAGACCAGGCAGAAGACAGACAGGTGG